AGTAAACATAATACTTATTTGTCATATTTTTAGAAATTAAAAAAGAGTCCACTCTTTTGCCCATTATATACTTTTTAGTAAAATTCAAGTTAAAACCCCATACATAAACTCAGTCGTACGAAGGAGTATTTTTTAGTTATAATAACAAGTCATTTTCTTGCTCTTTGAATCTTTGTCTGAATTTCTCCAAATTGTTTCTTCTTCATTTGTGGTTCTTGATTTCCATATTGTTTTAAAGTTCTATGTTTATTAGATTTGTCTATAGACTACTTCTACAGTTACATAATTTTGGGAATATTACCTAAAAGGCGTCCATGAAAGTTAAATTGTAGAAATATGAATATACATTTCAAATTTCAAAATAATAGAATTCAATACTCTCTATTCTTATCTATCTTCTTGCGCCACCACTGCTGATCATAATAAAGAAATGTCATGTAGTTGTAAATATATCCCCATGCATCAAAAGTGTCATTTCTAGGGCATTTTCAAAACAAAGTATGATATTTTCAAAGATTAATAATGTCATTTTCATGACATGTTCAAAACAAAACATGACATTTTTGTTTATTGCAATTACATGAATATCATAATACTTTTGCACTTTTGTGGTTGAAAAAAAAAAGAGAAAATCAATAAATTAAGAGTTTTTTTCCCAAAATAATGTCAAATAAAAAAATACTTCCTAAAATAAATTTAGGTTAAAAGTATTTCTCAAAATACTGCTCCCTAAACCTTGATTTAAAGAGCTGCCACTTGAAGTGGGGGCTTATATGCAAAACACGTAACTCAAGAGTCAAGAGCAAGGACGCAGCAAGACAACATGAGATGATGAGATGGGCCCCACCAATAAATAACTTTTTTATTTGTACTCTCATTCTTACAAAAAATATATCAAAATTCATTATTTTTATTATCTTTCATATGATACCACTATTCAATATATAAAAAATAATAATTTTACACTCTAAAAATATCCTTTTTGTAAATATTATGTCTTTTTTTATCTATAGTCCGATTTTTACAAAAAAATATATCAAAAATTCATTATTTTTTTATTATCTTTCATAAGACACTAATTTTGAAGATATAACTATTAAAAAATTAATTCTATTAATTTTATGGACTTTATGATCGCTTTTTACTGTGAACAGAATTAATCAGTAGTGATAGTTTATAATAAAACTGCACAAAGGTGATGGAGTTTGTGTAGTTTTAGGATATTTTTACTTGGACTGTAATTTGTTAGTCTGGTCTGATCTGGTCTGGTCTGTTCTAGTAATGTCTAGTCTCTTGCATTTTATAACTATTCAAGTCTGGTCTGGTCTAGTCTGGTCTGGTCTAGTCTGTTCTGGTCTGCTGTGATCTGGGATGGATTACAGTCTACATCCTTATTCTAAGATATTTCTCCTGATTAATTGTTTGCAGGGAAAATCGCATATATGGTCCCTCAGTTATCCACGAAATTCAAATCTTGTTTGCACGATAAAACCGATTATAAATTTCAAAAATTAATAGAATTAATTTTTTAATTTTTATATATTCAAAATTAGTGTCTCATGAAAGATAAGAAAACGTTATGAATTTTGATATAATTTTTTGTAAAAATCGGACTACAAATAAAAAAGGATAGTTTTACAGTGTTAAATTATTTTTTATTTTTATATATTGAATATTAGTGTCATATGAAAGATAATAAAAAGTTATGAATTTTGATATATTTTTTTAGTAAGAATAGATTACAAATAAAAAAATTATATCATTTAAGATAAAAATGAGATTTCATTTATTGGTGGGGCCTATCTCGTCATTTCATGTTGTCCCTGTTGTGTGCTTGCTCTTGAGTTACGCGTTTTGCATATAAACGTGACGGTTCTCTGAACTTATTTTGGGAGCAGTATTTTGGGAAATACTTTTGGAAAAATCTGTTTGTACCCACTATTGTACCCATTTTTGTACCCACCATGTGTGTGAGGAGTTTTCTTTTTGCCTGTGAATCCCGGTCATAGACAAAAATATGTATATGAAGACATGATGGGTACAAAAGTGGGTACAACAAGAAGAATCCAATACTTTTAACCTAACCTTAGTTTGAAAATTATTATTTTTTGGATTTTTACAAGTATATTACTAAAATAATACTTATTTATATAAATATGACTATTCATTACCCCCTCCGGTTCTAAATAAACTTCACACTTTCCTTTTTGGGACGGTCCAAAATAAATTTCACACTTCTTTATTTCCTTATTTGGCAAAGAAATATACATCAAAACAGTGTTAAACAGTGCTAAACAGTGCCAAACAGTGTCTCAACAGTGCCAAACAGTGTCTCAACAGTGCCAAACAATGTCTCAACAGTGTACTCTACAGTAAAGTCAACTTTATTTCTTTAATAACTGTGAAGTCAAACACTGAAGTTTAAAAAGAATCGGAGGGACTACTATTTATTAGTACTTTAGTAACTAGTCATATATCTGTAAATCATATTTATTTTGATTATATTTATGTAATTATGTTTTTATTTGACATTATTTTGGGAAAAAGCTCATAAATTAATTATAAATAAATGTAGTGGTAGTTGACTAACAATTAGATAGGAAATTAGGAATACCCGGATTCCAAGTTTGGCAGACACGCGCCGTGGTAGGTGAGGATTTTGATCATAGTGCTGAAAGCCTGAAACCCCTTGTTCTCACCAGTCACACAGTCAAACCAAAGTCTGACCGAGTTGTTTGGACTAAGGATGTTTTTACTTGGACTGTAATTTGCTGGTCTGGTATGGTCTGGTCTGATCTGGTCTGAACTGGTCTGATCTGGTCTAGTAAGGTCTGGTTTCTTTGTATTTTTATAACTATCCAAGTCTGGTCTGGTCTGGTCTGAACTGGTCTGGTCTGGACTGGTCTGGTCTGGTCTGGTATGGGGCAAATTACAGTCCAAGTAAAAACATCCTAAATTGCAATGAATCAACATTTCTTTAGGTTGGAGCCCTGGAGGTAGAGCCGTCAAAATGGGCCGAAACCCGCGGGCTGACCTGTTTAAACCTAATTATTGGTGAGTTAGGGTTGTGATTTTCTGACCCATTTAGTTCGCGGGTTTCGCGGGTTTCGTGGGTCAACCCACACGGGTTGCGGGTTTAACTTGGTTGGCCCACCGGGTTGCGGGTTGGCCCGCGGGCCAATATACAAACATATTATTTTGATAATTATTATCTTAAATATTGTTCTTTTATAATCAAAATTATTATAATTGCAATTAAAAATTACAACCATTGCAAAATAATTATTAGTTCTATAATAAGTATTCAAATAAATTGTTGAAACATACATAGTATATTTTATGTAAAGTTCGATCTATCATTTAATAATTAGTAGTGCTGATTTACAAATAATCCCTCAAAAAGTTTAAGTACATATTTGCTTTTATATAATGAGTATTCTTGCTACATACACTCTAATTTTAGTATAACTAGTATGAAGTACGTAATATTATTTAATACTACATATTTTTTAAATAAACTTAACAAGTATTGATTTCTTAGTATTTTGATTTCTTATATTTCATATACTACTACTTACTAATATAAATATATACTTATGGGTAATTATTTTTAAAGAATAATTTTTTCATATATATTTTTTGCAACGGCGCGCGGGCCAACCCGTTTAGCCCGTGAGTTAGGCGGGTTGGGTTAGAGTTGTAGAAATTCTGACCCGTTATTAAACGGGTTGACCCGACCCAACCCACATAAAGCATAACCCGTCACGGGTCGCGGCGGGTTGGGTCGGGTTGGCCCGTTTGACAGCTCTAGTTGAAGGATCACATTGCCCATCATGTTTTTCTTCTATCAAAGTATCAATTCCACCCCATAGGCTATTTATATATGTTTAAAAGTTAACAATTTCTTTTTTGTTCTAAATATCCTACTATAGTACTTTGAACTCTCGTTTTTCATTTTGAGTTCATATATACTCCGTATTATTTTTATCATTCCAGATTAAACTTCTTTTTACACGTCCAACTAAAATTTACTATTTATTTTAGGAAATAATTGGGCCAAATGCATAAACAGTACCTTAATAATTGATATTGTTGCATTTTGATGTCTTAACTTTTAATGAAATACATAAGTACCATAATTATATTTAAATATTTTAACAATCATTACTATTCAAATTTTCGGTAAAAATTCTATGTAATAACCGAAATTCTATAAGTAAAGTCTATTACAAGTTACATTATCCGCACCACCAATGTCGGTGGACGGTACACATAAAATTGCGGCCACCACGTATATTTTTTTGGCTGAAAATTTCAATAGTATTACTGTTTGAAACATTTATGGATATTTATGGTACTGATTTGTTCTATTTTAGAGTTAAAGTATAAAAATATAATGATACCAGTAGTGATCATAGGTACCATTTATGCATTTAATACCAAATAATTAACACTATTAAATGATAAATTAATCACTAATATTAAAATGACGCACACATAATATCAAAGTTATCATAAATGAACCTACTATATTTTATATCATCAAAATGATTTCCAAAATATACACGAACCACCCTTTAAAACGGCTAAAATAGATACTTTGGGGTGGAATTGATATTTTGAATAAATTTTAAAAAAATTGTTTGACCGTGTGGATAAAGTATTAAAAAATGTTTAAGAAAAACGAGGTAGTCACGGACGGATCCGTGACTAAGTCCGTCACCAATTCGAAATTTTGAATTAGTCCCAGACTTAGTCACGGACTCACGGATCCGTCTGTGACTAGCCCGGTCAAAGGCGGCCATGACACCTCGTCTTCCGCAGTGCTGACTTCGTTATTTACGAAGGGCTAGTCACGGATGGATCCGTGACTAAGTCCGTGACTAATTCAAACCTACACTTAGGTTTGAATTAGTCACGGACTTTGTCACGGATCCGTCCGTGACTAGCCCATTTTATATAAGCCACCCTTTTTTTTCCCAACCTACGCTTCCCATTCCCAAATTACTTCCTTCTCTCCATTCTCCGATCCCTTCCTCTGCATTCCACCATTCGGGCACAGCGCCAGCGCCACCGCCACCGTCCGCTGCAATCCGCCGCCCGCCGCCGCCCGCCGCCGTCCGCCGCCGTCAAGGTTATGTTCTCAAATTCTATTATTTTTTTCGTAGGTTAATAATTAATTATAAATTTTTTAAAATGCCAAAAAATGCATGTTTTGTTTTTATTGTAATTAATATACATGCTCTATTTGTTATAATATACCCAAATGCATGATGTCTATAATCAAATGCATACTTTAATTGTTCAATTAGTTTATATGAGTATTAACTAGGCATGGCAATAGGTCGGGGCGGGTACTGAAAGATCCAGACCCGCCCCGTAACTTGGCGGGGCGGGTCCGCCCCGCCCCATGACCTGCACGGGTCCAAACTTGTTGACCTATGACCAGCCCCATGCGGGGCGGGTCCGCCCCGCCTCGCAGTAACCTAATTAACTAGTATGTATTTTTATTTCTGGCAAGTTGTTACCAATTGAATCTACATAAAGTTTATCTCTAAATAATAATTAAAAATTAATATATTAAATCAAATTCATGATATCCTAAAAATTTCAAAAATTAAGGAAAAATTACTCAGACTTGAATAGTTAATCTATTAAATTTTACTAATAATTGAACATATGTATTAAAATACTATATATAAAGTAGACATTGATAATCCATCGTTCATCTCATTCTAATATTTGTATTAATATATTATAAGATCAAAGAATTTATGATTTACTGTATACACACATATGTATGTTGAAGTATATTTGTAGTATAATTTAAGAAAAATATGTATGTTTATGTATTGAGCGGGTCGGGGCGGGGCGGGTCAGGGCGGCACGGGTCAATACTAATACCCGGACCCGCCCCATTGTATAGGCGGGGCGGGGCGGACCCGCCCCATTTGGAAGACGGGGCGGGCCAGACCCGCCCCAAATGTCTCGGGCTAGGGCGGGTTATTGTGGGTCGAGTTTTTTTTGACAATCCCTAGTATTAATTATTAATTTACTCGGTCTTTTTTCCAATATGCATGCTCTATTTCTTGAATGATGCATGCTCTATTTGTTGAATTTTTTACAATATATGTTTGTAGAATACTTGATTTGCATGGTTACATTTGGTGAAATTTGTTTGATATAATTTTCGAAATTTTATGTTCAATATGCATGATTAGATTATGGTTTGATATAATTTGATATGTTTTTATTGGTTATATGTTCAATATCCATGCTTAAACTTGTTTTTTTAATTAAACCACATGCATGATTATTCAAACCTTTTTAGCTTATTTCGGACTTATTTTTTTTATTTACACCATATGCATCAATAGTATTATTGAATAGATATAGTTTAAAAGACATACCCGAATTATTTAAGAAAATTGTCCCCCTCATGTTAATAAACTTGCAATAAGTTTAACATGTTTAATTATATATTTACTAAATACTCCCTCCGTCCCAGGGAGAAGTTCTCACTTTCCTTTTATGGTAGTCCCAACAAAAAGTTCCTGTTTCCCTAAATGGAAAGTTATCCTACGTCAAAACAGTGTCAAACAGTGCAAAACAGTGCCAAACAGTGTCGAAACAGTGCCAAACAGTAAAATTTACCCCTCAATAACTTTATTTCCTAAATATGTGTGAAAGTCAACCCGGGAACTTCTCCCTGGGACGGAGGGAGTATATAATAAACAAAAAATAAAGTGTTTTAAAAAATGAATTTATAATTCAAAAAATAAACTGTTTTTCAAAAAAATTAAGTGTACGAAAAGTTGTTTTTCAATATTAAACTGTTTTTCGAAATATTAAACTATTTTTCAAAATTATAATAATGAACATGTTTAAAACATGATTTATACTGTTTTTTCAAAAAAATACAAAAAAAATACATAGAACTGATTTTCTAAAATGTTATACGAATAAATTTATTAAAAACTGTTCTTTAATAAATTAATACAAAAAATAAAGTTTAATAAGCTTACGAAAAACTGTTTTTCGAAATATTAAACTTTTTTTTGTATAACTATTACTTCATAAACTGTTTTTTCTATAAAAATGGAGTTTAATAAGGTTAAACCTGCTTTTAATAAATTAATAAAAAAATTAAGTTCACTAAGTTTACCAAAAACTGATTTTAATACAAAAACTAAATTTTTGATGTGTCAAACTTTTTTTTTTAATATATTAAAATGATTCTTATAACTTCCATATAAAAAGTTATAAAAAAACTCATGTACCTACAAAAATTGATTTTTAGAAAACATCAAAATAAAATATGTCCACTCATGTAAACTTGCCAAAAAGTTTAACATGTTACGTTTAAGAGCAATCAATACAAAAATGTATTGTTTCAAAGTTATAAAACATTTAATTCAAAAAATTACGATCCCTCATATTAAACTTATACACAGTTTAATATGTTATACACATTTTTTAATGGGAAAATTGTCAATTACGCCCTCCTACTATGTAGAGAAAGTCGATTAGGTGCTCGTACTTTAAAAACATTTAATTATATCTTCAAACTCTTAAAAAACGTTCAATTGAGTATATCTAGTAGGTCACCAATCAGTCTTCCGGTAAGTTGCACATGTGGTAGGCCACATGTCATTTCTTTTTTTATCTTTTCCATTTCTTTTTCTATTTTTTGTTAGGTAGATTCTATGATACCCATAAGGTACCCTACCTTTGTCCACATGGATGAATGAGAATGTAGCAATTGAATTATTTAAATCTAAATTATAAATGATAAAGTGGTGCGGTCCAATCAAATGAATGATAGGTACAGTACTTCATTTTTTAGTTGGGTACCGAGTTGTCACCTTTCTTATTGTTTCCCTCTCTCGGTCTCTACGTTCCCAATCTCAGCCTCTGCACTATTTCTTCTTCCTTTTAACGTTTTTTCTTCTTCTTTTTACTTTCTCTTCGTTTTCTTCTTGTCAATTACCTTTATTTTCGTTCCCAAATCCCAGCTGTCTCTTCGTTCTCTTCTGTTTTTCAGGTTGCTTTATGAACATGCCCGGAGTATTACTGTATTAGGGCTCCAGCCACCTCTTTCCTTTTTCTCTTTGGTTTCAACTTTGACTCTATCAGAAATTAAGCTTCTAGGCTGCCAACAATGGTGTTCTCGTCGTAGATCTGAGCATCAGTTTCAACGACGCCACTGTCGACGATGGCGGCTGCAAGTGTGGGTAGATTCCGGCAACAATGGCGCCACTCTCTTCTTCTCTGTTCATTTCTTCTTTTGCCAGCTAGATTCCGGCGACGACGCGATGTTGAGGAAGACTCCGATGAGCAGTAGGCTCCAATGGTTGAGACGGCAGCTGCCCCCACTCAACCCCAACCCAACCCCTATATATATGTCCAAATTTTTATAAGAAATTGCTCAAAATAAGAAATAAATGTAAAAAAAAATCTAAAATAGGATTAAAAGTATTTTCTTTAATATTAAAAGAATGAAAGGCTAAAAAATTCACTAAATTTTGTTATGTTTAACTTATATTTAGATAATTTTATTACATTTTATCTGCAATTACATCTTTACACACCCGTAATATAAATTAATCTTCTTTTTATTCATACTTTTACATAGATATTATAAACTAAAATTAATCAAACAATATTAATAATGTGATTTGTTATTTCTGATATATGAGACTAAATTATAGTCAAGTTTGCCCCCACTCGCCAAATTTCCTGGATACGCCACTGCTGCCATCGCCTTAATCTTAGCTCGGTTTCCGGCGAGTTTGCTTTTTGGGAAGAACTGAAGAAGGGAAATGAGGCTCTGTAAAAGAAAAGAAGAAAGAAAGAAACGGAGGCGAGGGGACAGGTGCAGGAGGCGTTCAACCCAGGGAAGATAGAAGAGAATAAAGAAAGGGAAGGGAAAAGAAACAAAAAGAAAAATGAAAAAAATGACACTTGGTTTGCCATGTGGGCTGCCACGCATGTATTTAACCGGGAGACCGGTGGGTGACTTGCTAGATATACTCAATTGAACGATTTTTAAGAGTTCGAAGATATAATTGGGTGTTTTTAAAGTACAAGGACTTAATTGACATTCCGTACATAGCAGGAGGGTGTAATTGACAATTTTCCCCTTTTTAATTAATTAAACTCCAAAAAAATTGATGTTCTATTATAATCACACTAACATTTTAAAATATAAATTAATAAATTTTAGATGAGTGATTAACAATCAACCTCCCGTGCCCGCCTGTCATACGCCCCCTTAACGGAAGCCGAGCGGAACAACGAAAACGCGGCCTGGGTGACACCCATAACGGTAGCCAGGTAATAAATTATGAACTTTTTCTAATTTCAAATAATGTAATCAAAACTTCTATAAATTTACATAAATATTATTACAGAATATTAATTTTTTGAAGCGATAAAGAAGTGTTAGATAGAATCAAACACATAGTTGGCTCACATTTTTTGGGGAATTGGGCATCCTACACGGAAGTTGACCCCAAGGTCCGTGAACTTTGGTGGAATCTGTTTAAGGTAAAAATAAATGAATTTTCTCGGCGTAAATGTAGTAACTTAAAATTTGATAAATGATAAATTAACATATAAATTTTTTAATAAAGGGCCAACATCGATGGACCGAAGCACATGGCGCTGATGTTCTGAGAGCGTATAATACAAGGGTCTCTAAGTGGTTTATACCCACTTTTAAGCGTGCCTGAAAGAGCGGGATGAAGCCTGGATGGGCTTCCGATGAAGTCTGGACCAGCCTTGTTCGCCACTGGTCTTCAGATCCAAAATTTGCGCTAAAAAGCACAGCCGGTAAGAAAAACCGGATGTCCGAAAAGGCCATGAAGACACAATGGCACGGGGGGCGCAAACCTCAAGATAACCATAAAGAAACTCTGGTAAGTTCTAATTCAAAAAAACCTAGCACCATTACAGCCCTCACAGATATATAATTATTTTTAATTTTTAAGTAATTCTCAAACCATGTAGGCGGGACCTGAGAAAAAGACGGTCTCCACGTGGAAGGTTATCAAACATTGTTGGACGAAGGGCGGCGATGAGTCTAATGTCGAGCTGCCACCCCGCCTCGCCGAAATTGAAGTAAACAACATCACTTCAGTTATTTAATAAAATTCAAAATAAAGTTGATCCTAATTATAATAAATGTTTGAACATGTAGACGAAGTATCAGGGTGCGGTTGGGAAGAAACGTGCTGAGTTAGGCTTGACTGACTCAGATATCGAACTCGATTCTGATGCGGATGATGAGGCGATGTTGGAGGCTGCCGGGGTGTATAAGGGCCGGGTTCCGTGCATGGGGGCCGAGGGGCTACGAATTCTGCCCAACTCCAGAGGAGCATCATCTTCTCGATCGAGGGTAGAGGATCCACGTATTGCCCAACTGCAGCGAGAATTGGAGGAGCGACGGGAACATGACCGAAGAACAAGAGAAAGGCTTGAAGCGATGGAACAGTAAATGCAGCGCTTCCCCGCCACATATCGGCCTGAAATTTATATAAGGCACCCTGAGACGACTCCTCAAGTTTTGCACATGGGCAATATGGGTTATCATTCTAACACTGGGTTGAGCATGCCTTCAATGGGGTCATTCGAATCTTTTTCGTATGAAAATTTTAACCAGTTTCAGACACCCGGCGGCAGCAGAGGAGGATGCAGCAGAGGAGGAGGCAGCAGCCGAGGAGGCAGCAGGCACCCGACCCGAAGACCACGAAGAGCCCGAAGAAGATTATCTCATTGATTATGAATATGATGATCCTAGATATTATCATAACGGATATTCCCGAAACAGTGTGTAATAATACATTTTTTAATTTAAATTGAACATCGGTTTTATTACTGTTATAATTCCAGTCTGTAATAATTACTTTTATTAAATTACTGGTAGATTAAATGTGTATGAATTTCTTTTCTATTTAATTGTTATAAATCCACAACATTTTTTTTTAAAATAATTTTTTTAAAGATAAACTTTTTTAAAGAATAAATTTCAAACAAAAACTATATTTTTTAAATTTAAAATGTTTGTCACGGATTCGATTCGTGACAAATGTTTTCTACGGTTTTTTAAAGGGGAAAGTAATTCAAATACCTCAAACTTTGAAGGAGTGTGAGATAAATACCTCAAACTTGCATGAGTAATTTCAATACCCCAAACTTTATATAAAAGTTATTTTAGCACCTTGTCATGTATAAATTTAAAATTTATGATCATTTAATTTATGGTGAAAATTATATGATCATGGTGCTAACATAATTTTTTATATAAAGTCCGGGATATTAAAATTACATATGCAAGTTCGGGGTATTTACCTCACACCCCTTCAAAGTTTGAGCTATTTTAATTATTTTTCCCGTTTTTAAAATATTGTTTTTTAAATTTTGTTCAAAAACAAATTTTAAATAATTTTTTTAAATTTAAAATATTAGTCACGGATGCTGTCAGTGACACCATGAAAATTTTAAAAATTTGAAAATGAAAATTTGAAAATTTGAAAATTTGAAATTTTCGAATTTTGAAATTTTCGAATCTTAACCGTTGTCACGGACGGGTCCGTGACAATTGTGACTGATTTTTTTTAAAAAATAAAGTTTGTCACGGATAAATCCGTGACAAACGTGGCGAAATAGCAACCGGTAACAAATTAGTCACTGATACGGGCCGTGACTAAGCTTTGTCACGAATTCCGGTCCGTGATTAAATTTAGTCAGATCACTGCCGTTTAGTCACGAATTTAGTCCGTGATTACATTTGTGACAAAATTGATAAGTCGCGGATTTTTAACACTACAATCTGTGACTACATCCGTGACTAAGCGCATGTTTTTTTTGTAGTGTGTATATGTTTCAAATAGCAATACTATTCAAATTTAAGGCCAAAAATCTGTTGGGAGAATGACTCTTATTGCTCAATCTGCCCAGCCCAAATTACTTTCTACACAAGGGCGTGTTTCTTTGTAGGCCCAAACATATACGGAGTACATATCTCCACATACAAGGTGGTGGATAACCGATTCCGTTAATAGCTCCAACATTTGTGCAAGGTAAAATCTAACTTCATCTCCTGTTTTTGTGCCTGGAGCTGTTAAACATACTTTTGTAAATTGTAAGCTGATTCTCTAGAAAAAGATATAATGTTATTTTCTTTCTCTTCTCAAAATCTTTTTCGTTTGAGCAATTGTATTGTGCAAACTTCATCCTTCAACCATGTGTGATCGTGTTTGAAAGTAGTGTGATGGTACCATGGACCGCGAGTCCGCGAGCATGGCCCAAGTGAAAATTATAAGCGAAGCCTATAACACAGGATTAATTAATAAGAGCCGCGAAAAGAGCTCACAGCCAGCCCGACCTGAATAGCAGGCCTCGAGTCTGGGCGGGATTCTAGCGAGGTCTAACCCTCCTAGGGCTTACGTGATAGGATATCCATTGCGTATTGCTATCTCTTTAGACTAACTAACAGAAGAAACTTGAATGTATTAAATGTATCGGTTTTATCTCTTTAGACTATTGTAGTTTTGGGTTTATAAATACTTCATGTGCTTACCCTAAAAGAGACCAACCTCCTGAATAATAGTACTACTTACGCTACCCAAATTCCTCCGCTCTTCATAGATTAGTTCTTGTAGTTGGAATTAAACTCCATCACTATGTAAATCTTGGGGAACGAACAAGCAGTATACAATTAGCACTGGAGTCGTGCCGAATTTTGGTCTCAAGACAGCGGTCTCCACGCCACAGCTTGAATCCTTCTCCATTGATAAGTTTTTTGGTGTTGTTCTTCCAATAAAACAGTACGCGGAGACTGAATTTTCTATAAACAGTCCACCGTACACTGGTGACATAGATAAAAGTAATGTACAATAGACTGTACGAATAAATTCTGGTTACACGTAAATTTTTTATGATATTGATTTGTTTCATTTCAAAATTAAGGTATCAAAGTTTAACAATAGTCACAATTAAGGTACTGTTAAAGCATTTGGTTCTAATTTTTTATTAGTGGTGATTTATAGCTATGGTGTCATGGAGTAAATGCCACCCGTTAGTTATAAACAAATTGATAGATCCAATTATCCAAATGCTTCACAATTTTTGCATATTGGACCCAATTCCGTCCAAATCGTTTATACCATGCATTTCAAATAGAAATGGAGAGCTCTCTTTAATATTGCATAATTGCATTGTCATATGAATTTTATACAGAGATGGATGCAAATAACTTAGGCTAGTTAAATGGCCGAATAGATCTAATTAAACCAAAATTTAGCCCAAGTAAAATCCAATAAGAAATATTGACAAGCCCAAATAATAATTAAAGATTTTGATATTTATCTGGAGTCAGGGAAAAACAATATACTCCGTCAAGTTCGCTGCAAGTCTGAAGTGTGAAGAAAAACATATTTACACATATCAATACTTGTATGTACACCTTTTCTTTTTTCCACGTCCGATTACCGACCTACGGGTTACTGTGGCCCTCAGCCCGGCTCATCGGACAAAATTGTACATGAGTTCGAAATGGAATCTGGAATATTTGTGAATTTATGATTAATTTGTACCTTTTACTTAATGCATTGTGAATGAAGTTGGAACAAGCTAAATGGCCGAATAGATCTAATTAAACCAAAATTTAGCCCAAGTATAGGAACCAGAGAGTTTTTTGAGGGGGTGCTGAATATAGTACGGTTAAAAAATTGTTCTCATTATTAACAGTGCCAATGGTTGCACCTTTAAATTTTTTCCACTACTTCTTTCCTAATTAACTGATGTATTGGTATATTTAGAGTCATCTGATCTCAAATCCAATGTAGAATATTTTTTTCTATTTTTCATGAAACGATTCTTTTTTGGACCTTAATATATATACACGCTCAAGCATGAGCATACATATACATAAGATCAACTTAGATATAGACGTTTGTTCAAATTTATACTTAACCTTTATTCGTTTATAAAGAAAATAATATACGTTCTTTTATCAAGTGAGTTATTCCAATTTAATTAGCTTATCATGTTATTATAAAATATTCAGGACTTAAATAGCAATATAGCTAAATATTACATAAATTTCTTATCAGAATAATAGAGTTGTTTTTGTCAAAAATTGGCATTTGTTTTTTAATTATGTGAATGTATTACGTAAACTAGTTTTTTCAACGAGCGTTGCGCGATAGTGATAATGCCCAAAATATTATCTATAACTTAAAGCCCTAGCTATATTTTTGCACCTTATATAGAATCTATAAACAAAATAAAATGATTTTTTTTAAAAAAGTAGTCAAATAAATATGTTTTTTTTAATAAAAGGCACAAATACTATAATGTATTGTCAAGCAAAGTGAATTACTTATACGTAAGCTAAGAAAGATGTGTTGGAAAATGTGTTAATAAATTGCATTAAATGGTCATTTTGGTGCAATTTTTTGAGTGTGGTCCACTTCATATTTGGGTCGGGTCAAAGTGGTTTCGGATTGTCCTTGCTTAGGGCTACAATTTGATATATGGTATGCTCAAAACGGATAACGGGTGAATGCGAGATTGATTCTCGAAGTTCACTTGTTGAAATGGAGAAAAATGGGAAAAAAAGAGTTTCTAGTGTGGTTTTTTCCCACACCGGAAAACCCAAGGGAATTTGAACCCTTTATAAAGGGAAGCCCCCCTTTGAGGAGTTAAGATTTCTAAGGGTAAAAGATCTCTCTCGTGCGCAAGGGGGCGGATGCAAATCAAATCTCGAAACCGGAGAACAGAAAGCACAACTTGCATGCACGGGCGACTTGCGGACATGAATGTCGTCCGGAAATTCTATGAGCGTCCGCAGCAGGCTGTTGCTGGGACGTTACAACTATTAAATGCCCAACGTCTATGAGCCTTAATGCAACAATTAACGAACTGCTTTGGCCAAATCAATGACCAACGTTCGGGGAATTGATGTCCAACGTTCAGACCATTAATTGTTATTAACACACAACAACAAATCCTTCCTATAAGTAGCTGGCAAGTGGTTTCCAACAAACACAAGTTCATACGCACTTCCCTCACGTATTTTGAGCTCTGAAAAACACCTCTAGTTTCCGAAATACTCCTCTGTGTTCTGCCTTTGTTCACGTTCACCGGAATAGTCGTTTAAGTGCTCAAACAATTGCTCGTTAGTCATCGTATCCTGGAAAATGATTCTTGCAACGCTCATAGCACCCCGGGAGGCAACGAATACGTTTGAAGGAAATTGTGCGTAGTACAAGCTTTGACTGATTTCTGCTTCATCTCATTTCTTGTTTTTCTTTAGTCATTTTATTTAACTAATTTTTATTAATTAATTTTCTTCGTTTTTCGAAACACACCCAACAGGATGGATGGGCGGTCGAATAATGTATCTATCAATACATGCAAAAACTCTATTTAACTTTAAAATAGAGCAATTAGAAAGAGGCGTGAAAGAATGCTTATGTTGGAACAAAATTACATAGTGTACACCGGGATAAAGTGAGGGGAACACAATTATACCATGTTCAAAGGCCGTGGAGGCATGGAGCTTTAGTTGGAATTTCATTGTCTGACAAAGTGCACTGCATGCTAACAATAACACAAGTATAGCTTTACACAGAAGCATGAAGGATTGAAAAACTATTTTCTGCTTACTAACAAGACTCTATTTTTTAACAAAAAAAAACAAGACCCTATAGGATGAAATCAAATATAGTTCCTTTTTAGATATAGATGACTGCCAAAAAATAGGAAGAGGACTTGAGACATAGGAAAAAACAAAATAGTTACATATGGAAGGAAGAGGACATATATTTTTACAGCATGAAGTTCAAACTCATAAGCATTCGTTGCCTTAGAATAGTTACATGTTTGTCAGCCATATATATATTGAGAACCTTTTA